GTTGTATTCAATTTTTTAAGTGTATCATTCAACTTTTTAAGTGCATCATAATCTATAGTCAGTGTATAGATCATGTATAGGTAAGTATATTGTATAATTAATGTATACTTCATGTATAGTTAAGTTTTATTCAACTTTTTAAGGACCCGTTTGGTAGGCGATATTAGATAGAATAATCCATGGATTAAAATTTAGTCCATCTAATACATTGTTTGGTTACTTCATTTAATTTAATCCGTGGATTGTTTATCCATCATATGTGGTCTTATCTTATCCCTAAAAAATTGAGGGATAACTAATCCAAGATTTGTTAAACTTTGGATAAGACCCCTAAATGACTAAACTAACCCCTTATTCCTTTTCCTAAATTTATTTTGTAATTTAATTTCCTTTTTATTTATATTGAATGGTTATAAATGTTCTTTTTTAATTCTCCAAATCCGTTTAGTGTAATTTAATGATTTCACTAATATTTTTTTCTCCATTTTTTCTTGAATTTTTTTTTATTCAAGATAGTTTGTCGATTACCCGCTTGAACTATTTGTTTTTTTTATAAAAAAAAATAAGCTTTTGGTATTGAACAATTTAAGTAGTCTTAAATCTATGTTAAGTTTAAGATATACTTGACCAACAAAAAATTAAAAATACACCGTGCCATTAATGATCTTCTTAGTGGTACATCATACCTGAAAATTAATAACAATTTCATGTATATATATATATATATACATACTAGTAAAGAAAGCTTGGGCGCTGCCCGGGCCCAACATTAATAAAGTTATATTGTTACTCTCTCCGTCCTATATTAGATGAGAATCTTACTAAAAATAGTTTTTCATATTATTTGAGCACTTATTAAATTAGGATAGAATTAATTAATTCTTTTTCATGTTACCCCTACAATTAATATGACCATTCCTATATTGTATGTGTATTTTTTGTAACTCATTTCAATGTGCATTGATCTAAACAAAGGGAAAAATGGTGAAGTCTTCCAATGTATTAATAATTTCTTAATCATCGTGTAAAGTTGGAAGTGCCCATCTAATATGGGACGGAGGGAGTATAGTTTATGTATTATTATAAAATTAGTAAAGATTGTTATAATATATTTTGCTCATAAGTGAGCTAATATAGAAACTTATTTGTCATTTGTCTTTTTAATTTCAATTTTAAATAGCAAATAAATGTAGCGATAAGTTTGAGGGTAGAAATGAAGCATATCTTTCTAAATTTAAGTAAAAATAAACAGAGTAGAAGTAACATTAGGGTTATCGATAGGACGATTCATTCGGTTATTTTTAAATATCATTCAATTTTTCGGCTATTTTATAATGTATAACCAAAATTAAAATTTTAAAATCATCCCAATACTAATTTATGTGACAGAAGCAGTACAAAAATTAGTCTTTTTTTGTTGTCTTGTAGATATTTTAAGTTATTATTTATTGTAAATTATAGTACTTTTTATCAAAGTTTTTAATAACATATGTTACTTTTTATGTTTGAGAGTTAAACCAACTTTTTTTTATATGTCTTTTAATTGTATATGTGTTTTGTCCGTTTCCATTTTGAAAAACCAATACTCTCTCCATTTTATTTTATATGTCATTTCTTTTTATAAATATATTGGTTATTCCCTCTTCTTATTGGAACACATGTTGACTTGTGGTGAATACTTATTCCCTCTTCTTATATAGTAATATATATATATATATATATATATATATTTGATTTAACTAATTAAATGGAATAGAAAATCCTACTAAAAAAAAAGCCTGGTCCGACGGTTATCTACCTTGACTCAATTATATGAAATAAACACCATAATAACACAAAGGTATAATAGGAAAGAAACTTTTTGTAGAGTTTTAAATCAAACACAAAATTAAGTGGAAAGTAGTGAACCAAACACTTGACAAAAAATAATCTCTGCACTACTAATTCCTTCGTTACTAATCCCTGCATTATCAATGTTTGTACCAAACGACCCCTAAGTGTATTATAATGTATAGTCAGTGTATAGCTCATGTATAGGTAAGTTATGTTGTATAATAAGTATATACTTCATGTTTAGTTAAGTCATATTCAACTTTTTTTAGTGTATCATACTGTATAGTTAATGTATAACTCATGTATAGGTAAGTTATGTTGTATAGTCTGTGTATACTTTTTATGTGACTTTTGGCAAATTATATTTTCTAGCCAGTGTTTACTTCCTATGACTTTGCCTATTTTTTTTATGTAAATAAAACATGGTTATATTTGTAGTAAACTAATTACTTTATTGTATATATATATTTGAAACTAGCCCTAATTTTTTTTAGTTTCTTTATGAAAAGTGTTTTTTATCAGGCAAACAACACAAATCTCACTAATTTAGGACCTAATTACATGCCTTCCTATGAGTTTTTGAAATTATTATTTGTGTCAGATTTAGGTCCCAAGATACACATGTTGAATACATGGGGTCAAAATTAGTTGTAATTTATTTCAGATACATTGTATCCAAGTGAATTCGCGGGTATCTGGATATACTGACTCTCTAGCTCGCCTCTCCCTTACCTCACTCGCCTCTCTCCCTATATATTTGTATTTCAGAATGTATATAGGATTCCAGATACATGTACCTATTGTGTTTTGCATGTATCTCAAATACACTAACTCTCTCGCTTACATACCTCCTATCTCACTCGACTCTGTCCCTTTCTTGCTCGCCTCTTTTCGTATGTAATTATATTTCAAAGTGTATTTGGTAGCAAAATACATGTATCTAACTTGAAATTTGACATGAAATTATTAATTAATGAGACAATATGTAATTATTTCAAATTATAGAAAGGATTAGTAAATATGGTAGAAATATTTGTGTAATTATGTAATTATTCTTTTATTTCATTTGAAAATGGCGTTAGATCATAAAAAATTCAAATACAACTTGAAATTTATTTAGTGGCCATTTGGCCAAGAATATATTTTAATTTTTTCGGAGTTGAATTCCAGGAATTATGTCTGGCTATAAAATTTCAAAAAATCAAAATTCAACTTCAAGTTGAATTTCGGTTGAAAAATATCAAAAAGATATTTTCACTTTTTCCCACTAGAAATCACTAATAAAAAATCAAAAATAACTCCAATTTGTATTTATTGTCAAACCAACTCAAATTTTCAAATACCATTTTTTTACTTTGAAAATAAACTTCTATCTTTTTTTTCAAATTCCACAATTCTCATGGTTAAATGGAACCTAAAACAAAGACTTATTTGTACAAGATGAAATGTTTTACAAAGATTATTAACTAGTTGGACAATAACAAGAGACAAAAGATGTAATGCAGTTGATGAGGTTGTTCCTCCCTTAATCACAGATTTGGGGTTCGAACCTTGGATATGGAAAAATCCTTAATAGGAAGTGTTACCCCCCCCCCCGAATGGGACCCTATCTAGCGAGAATCTAAATTAGTCGGACGCCAATATAGATATAGTACACCAGGTGGAAAAGAAAAAGAAAAAGGAAAAAAAAAAAAGACTACTAAAAAACAGAGGAGACAAATTACCTTCATCTGGATCAGTGAGCATATCTTGTCCATAAGCAAAAAAACATGTTGAAAGAACCACAATCAGTAATATAATTGCATTCTCTTTTTCCATCTCCAATTATCTTTAAACCAAAAAAAACACGTCAGTTTTCAGAGGCAGAGTCAAAATTTGAACTAAAAACGTTCAAAATTCATCATTAAACCCGTAACTCTTTTTAGTTATAGGATTAATCCGACCCCGTACCTAAGATCCAGAAATAGAATGTTAAATCACCTACTAGAAAACCTCAAAGAGATTGACAAGAGTACTCAAACAATGTATAGAGAATATAATGTCTGCATAGTAGTACCACTTTAATAAACATGTAGTAGATAATATTGAAATAAACTGGAGAGTTGACAATGCCAAACTTGAAATTGTCAAGTTTTGCTCTTTTTATATGTATCTGAAAATGAAAATTAACTAACACAGTTGGTAATGCAACATTTTCAGTGTAAGTTGACAAAAAGACAATTGGGCAATAGGGATTATATAATATGGCAAATTGTTACACAAAATATTCACTTTCCAGCTTTGTTGGGAATAAACAATGACTTGCAGTGGTGAGATTGCTCCACCCTTAACCAGATCTCTTGAGTTCGAGCCTTGGGTATAGAGAAAATTATGTTGGGAGTTCCACTCCGAATGAACCCTACAGTGCGTGATCCAAATTTAATCGGGGCTCCAATGTGGGCTCCAAACACCAGACGATTTTTTTAAAAAAAATACAGACTTTAAATGACTAGACAAGTGGACTAGGTCTTTATTTTTCACCTGGCTAAGTATGGAGTACAACATTGGACAACAATTTAGGTAGCATTAATATAAATTGGTATACATACATTCTTCAATTAAGATAACACCTAACTACCTAGATATAATGTTTTTTAATTCAACCATGCAATTAAATATTAGAATTGTTTGTATTTATCGTACGTCACATTAAATTCACTGTTTGTGTGTTGACTAAACTTGCAATGCATATATAGGCAATCTTACTTCTTCTACATATTCTTTCTTAAATATTACTCTCCATGACTTTAATATCATCAGCAAATAACATACATCATGAGACGATTTCTTGTATCACAGTAATATATTCAAACACAACTAATAGTATTATATATGAATTTGATTAAGATCTCAACTTCTATCTATTCAAGTTATGAAATGAACAGTCTCAGCAGTTCATTGCCTGTTGATTGGGCACTTTTCACATGGAACTAGCTGTTAAGAACTTATCAATCTAAAACCAAGATAAATGCTGTTAAGTTGGACAAAGTTCTCAGAGTGCAACATGCACGACTGGAGTGGCAAACGAGTGAGTCGAGTTGTATGGATAGATCAAAATGAGAAATATCACTGAATACAACAATAATGAATGTACAAGTCATACAGCTATGACGAAAGAAATTGTTGTCGAATAGAAAAGCCAAAATTTGCAAGGTCATTAAAAAGGATGGATAACAATGGGTTTGAAGATGAAAGCAACAAGAAATGCTATTTTAGACGAGGATAATTATAATGGGAACAAGATCTATTAGACTACCAGAAATCCTCTAACAAGAACACAAAATGACTCTCAAGCTATAATAGCAGAGGTTCCAGGGTCATTATAATGTACATTACAAGATGGCCAAAAAGCTCACAAGCTTCCAAAAAATGCTGCATGTTAATCCCACAATCCAACAGCCACATTCTTGCACCAATCTTTGGAATCTGTACAGAGCTAGAGGCCAAAACTGTTGGTCCAACAATACATGCCTAATACATGGGGTACCAAAACATCCCCTTAATTCCCTCTGGATCAGGTTCAAAACCAAGATTCCTGTAGAATTCCACAACTGCAAGAGAAAAAAAATGAAACTTCAGAAGCCTATTTAAGTAAAAAGCTTTTCAACAATAACACCAAAGAAATCTTTACATGTCTGAGACTTTGGTCTCATCTTGGTACCTTTACTATCTGCAAACAGTGAAATATTTCCGATGTCCCTTTGGAGAAGGGTTCGTATCAGTTTCTCGATAAGAACTTTTCCAAGTCCTTGTCCCTTTGAATGTCAACAAAACCATCATAGGAATTATGTTAGCTCACAATATCATCAAATAATAAGATGAATATCAAGAAAACCATTACTAATAGTCCCACATATATTTGAAATAAGATGCATCTAATATACAGACACAAGAGGGTAATGGTTATCATCGTAGTCATTTCCTCTTCAACATATATAAGCATTTCCTAGATAAGTCATTTTTAGTTCAATATTGCAATCATGGGAATAAAAAATTGATTATTTTGTAGTATTAACTAAAATTCATATTAAATATAGGTTTGATACCTAAATTGACACTTATACTTGTCTCGATTATGAAAGCCCCCCACCCACCCCACCCCTGTCCAAACTCTCAGTTTTCCAATTTAAACACCTCAAGTCGATCACACATGTTTAATACAATCCTCACCCTGCATGTGACTCAATTTTCCAGATAACACGTCAATATACACGCGACACACCATTTTTTATCTTCATTATCTTATAAAACAAAATCCCAACTTTTTTTGACTGGCTCGCGTTCCTTTCCCCTCCCACCATCCCTTTTCTGTAGCCTGGCGAAAGCTCAAAAACATTACACCAGAACAAGCACAGTTCCCCTCTGCCCTACACCATCACCCCAATATGATCAGCCACTCCTCACCTCATGCACATATTTGCACACGGTCTTCTTCCCGCAGGAATTCAATCATACTGCCAAAGATTCAGGCTCACATGTACCACCAACCTGGAAACACTATTTTACATTAACACGCCTGCATAAAGATGGAGAGGACTGAGGTAACTAGGGAAAGAACTCGCACACGGTGAGAGAATATCTTCATTTTCCACAGTTGGCCACCCCATCACCTGGGGGAACTCATCAGGAATCAGCCACCAACACAGCCTTTCTTCTCAAAATACCCCGGCGCCACCACCTGCAAACAAATGCCACTCTTGTCTTCCTGTGCCAGACACCGACCATAATCACCCCCTCAAGAAACACCAACACCCCTCTATTTTCTTCGTTTTGGGTATCTGATAGACTCTCAACTCAAGAAAAGTGTTTTGAAAAAATAAAAGAGCGAAGAAGCGATGATGAAAATACTGAGGAAAAGAAAAGAATCTAAAGAAAAAATAGTAGAATAACCAAAGATAATACTAGAATAATATTAATAGTACTGACAAGGAGAAGAGGAAACAGAAAAGGTGCTCCAAGTCAAACCAGAACCATGCCCTCCCACAAAAAAAGGGAAAAAAAAAAAAAGAGAAACGCTCAGCTACCGACTAACCTTCTATCCTAATTGTGAACCTACATGATCTCCTATCTAGGGTCATGTCCTCACCTCAGTGAGCTGAAGATGTGAAGATGTGTCATGTCCTGTCTAGTCACTTCTCCCCATTTCTTCTTCGGTCTACCTATACCTCTCTTTCTTTTTTTGAGAAAGGTAACCATTTGTATAATCTATATAAACTCAACACCATAACTGGTGCTGAAATTAGAACTTCACATCATCAAAAGAGCAAACCAAAGAGGAAAGACTCCTACCAGATTTATAATCTTTACACTTTACCAATTAAATCTACTAAATCTCCTACTTCCCCCCATAAATTTTGTTTACACCAAAAAAAGAACAAACTAAGACAATTCATCCTAATCTTTTGAATGGAATTGTTAGGATTTTCAAAATGTCTTGAGTTCCTCTCTTTCCATATTGTCTACCAAATACATGCTGGGGTGATCTTCCAATAATCTTCCTCTCTATTTCTCTTTCCCACATTCATCTAGTGATTCAAAAGATTCATAGTAGAGCTAGGCATAGCCCAATTTATGCTCAAAATACAAAAGAACATGTGCCACCGATTTATTGTTGTCTGACAATGTAAGAAAAGATGTTCATTGCTTTCACCCTCCATATAACATAGTAGTCACCTTGAACAAATCTGAAGACCTCTTCTTTGTTGCTTTTCTTGAGTTAAACATAATCTACCTCTACCTCTCCTTAGATCTGTCACTGTCAACCTCTCGCACCTCCTCACTGGGAATATGTTCTCCTCTTCACATGCCCGAACCATCTCACTCTCATTTCCCTCATCTTGTCCATCGTGGAGGCCACTCTCACCTTGCCCCGTATATCTTCATTCCTAATTTTATCTCTCCTAGTATGCCCACGCATCATCCTCATTTCTGCTACTTTCATCTTTTGAACGTGTTAATTCTTGATTGGCCAACACTCTTCCCCATACAACACAGTTGGTCTAACAACCACACTATAGAACTTACCTTTAAGTCTTAGTAACACATTCTTATCACATGGGACACCGGATAAAAGTCTCCATTTCATCCCCTGCTCCAATATGATGTGTGACATCATCGTCGATCTCCCTATTTTCTTGGATTATTGACCCAAGATACTTGAAACTTCCTTTCTAAAGGATGACTTCTTCACTGATCATGTTACTCCTTTTAAACTCGTGTCAGTCCAATATTTGAAGATTTAAGTTGTCTAGCGATAGAGGTTATCTTTAATTTCTACAGGCATACAAATCTCTAACAAGACTAAAAGACAAGCTTGGGATTGAGGGCAGTTGATGAACTGCAGTAGTAGGATATGAAGATTTAAGGTTGACACTTTACTCCAATCCAAAATAAAAATAAAAACTAACTATGTGCAGAAGAAAATATATATATTAATTGTTGTTCCTCCGAATCACTCACATCATATTAAAAAAAAATTGTGTTACTACTATGAAGTTTCAAAAGTAACTCCCCTGACTAGTCCAAGTTAATGACCAGTAGCCTCTGTATAAACATATCTACAGCATGAATAAACTTATTTAAGGTGCACAGAGAAAATACCTGATAGGAAGGATCAACAAGAACATCCCAAATTGTTGCATTGAAAGCATGATCTGATGTTGCACGAGCCATGCCTATCAGCTTCTTTTCTCCATTCCCCTCTGCCAAGTAACTTGTCCAAGTAGACTAAGGTTTTTATCACTTACTTTTAAAACTCATTTGCAAGAAAATTCAGATAATTGAGCATAACAGAAGGGAAAAAAAATGAATTCCCACTATAAAGTTGTTCCACCTACATACCTTCTCCTGATGAGAATTTCCTAGAATGCAAAGTTGCAACTATATAGCTATTTTTCAGAGCTGCGGCTAGCTTAGACAGTGGCCTTCGAGGCCAACCAACCTGTCAAACCCATCACATACTATAACAACATAAGTTAAGTTTTACAACATCTAAGAATAGATTATTTGCAGATGCATCAGTAGGAACTTAAAAACACACAAATTTTCAGAATTAAGGAAGTGTTAGGGCTTCAATCAAATTAAACATCCACAGTGAAGGATTACTCTTTTTGAACTTTGGTTTGCATTTTGTTATCCTTAACATAGCTACTCAACTTCTGTCTTAATTAAAGTCCTGAAAATGCCCATATCACCTTAAGATGATCCAAATTTTTTCTCGAAATGGAGCATTAAGATAAGCCAATCCAATAAATCGGGTTGTCAGTTTTTACTTGACATAAATAATGAAAAGGCACTCAACACAAGTATTTGACGTCCAAAAACTACCGGCCCGTTAAGTCGCGTAGCAAAAAAAAAAAAGCACCTACAACAACTACATACCCAGTGTAATCCTATATGTGGGGTTTGGGGAGGTAAAGTGTACGCTGACCTTACCCCTACCTCATGGAGGTAGAGAGGTTGTTTCTAAAAAGCCCTCGGCTTGAGTGACGCACATCAAAGTAAAGAGGACATAGCAAATAATAGGGAAAGCATAACATGGCATTCAAAAAACAAGAGGCAATGAAAGACGCATTTCTGGTACAAAGCCTTCAGTAAAATCTAAAAAGCCATGAAAGACGCATTTCTGGTACAATGCCTTCAGAACTACACTGTAGTTCTTTTCTGCACCGATTGGACTACTGCTCATCAGCCTTTTGCAGGCCTGGAAGGCGTGCCTCTGGCCACACACCTTCAATTTGTACTTTGGAAAACACATTTCTCTCTCCGTGCCTTCCCCATTTATGCTACAACAGATCATTCCAGTTTTTAACCAGAGCTCCGACCTCCCACCCCTACCCAATTCCCACCATTAGAGTTGAGGCACATTGAAACTTCATATCTATATGCACCAAATCATCATTGTTTTTTCACATGAAAATTATGTTGTCTAAATCACCGAAAAGAGAGCACCAAAATTTTCACCCCAGTGCAAATGGATTTTGACGAATGTAATCACCTTATCACATAAATCTTGGAGATCATACACATCAACATCCCCTCCAGAAGAGAATATAATCTGTTCAACTGTTCCATCAGGTTGAGTCTTCTCAACTAGAACAAATTCCTCAGGCAAAGGTTCTTCCTCTTCTTCTTCTTCACTGGATGGTGTGTCTATAACCTGTATTGTGTTATTCTTGCCAAACCTGCACCGTTACGCATCATAAGGCTAGTTAAGCTTTATAAGTCTAAGCAATATATTCTACTATTACTCCAAGACAATCTATTAAATGTTCTAAAGAAAATTAATACACACTCCATAAAAAACATCCTAGAGACAGCTATAAAAAGTATAAACACAGTACATCAACCAGTTTGACGTTGGGAAGTACTTATGAAAGTGAACCTACCCCCCACATTGCATTTACGTCATGTATAAGAGAACCTATCAACCTATAATCCATTAAAAATAAACCTCCTGACTATAAATCTCATGTACACCAAGAATTGCTCCACCTTTCTATCATCACGGATGTTTACTGAAATATCACTTCTACCTTGGTACTTACGTATTGGGCATGGAAATTTTTCATGGTTGAAATCTAATTTCACATAGCATTTTGTCTAACTACTTGACTTCATACTTGTGACAAATAGCATCTTGAAAGACAACAGACTTCTTGATTTCATCAAATAGTTTCCTCTTCCTTCCCATTTTGTTCACATGTTTTCTCCTTTTGACTGTTCCAAAGGATTGACCTCTTTGCTAAAATATCATAGCCTTTTTGGCAAGTATGATGGCATAACTTACCGTCTTCAAGACTTAAAATAATATATAATAATACCACCTTTTTTAGAATGGTAACATGTATTATATATACAGGTATTCTGCACAAGTTGTGTAGTTACCCAAAAAGGTACATAGACAAAATACCTTAGGGCTGCAGATAGCCCAGAACTTCAGAAATCGACTGAGCTTCCTCTCATAATTCTTGTTTTTACACTTAAAGTCACAATTCATCTTCATCTTCTCAATAGAATTCCTTTATCTTCAAAGCATCTTAAATTTCTCTCTTTTCATACTGTCCCCCAAATACAGTTAGGACAATCCTCCATTTTTCCGTCTGATTGGATATTTAGCCATCCCTATTCTAGCTAGCTAGCACTTCCAAAACACTCACTGGCATAGCCCACGCCTAATACCCCTCAGGTCAATGAAGATCTCCATTGTTGGTCTGTCTATTTACAATGTAAAAAAATGACAGTTGACTATTTCTGCTTGTTCTCCTTCTCCACATAGATAACATCTGGAGCATAGTTGGAATCCTCTCTTTGCTGGATTGTCTTGGGTCAAAACTACCTCTTTCACCAAAAGCGAATGGAAGCAGACAACTTCTTGTGGTATCTTAACTTTCCAAATCATCTTCCATGGCCAACATCCCACCAGATTGTTTGGAAGCGTTGTAATCTCTATAGGTTGACTTGACTAGAGACTTACCTTTACAATCACTTTGCCACAACGTACGGCACAGCCTATGAAGTCCCTCTGATTGTGCTAAGGAACTATAGGCTGAAATTCTTTCCACTTCCCAGTCATTAAACATTCTCCTATCTCCTAAATCTCAGATTCCACCCTTAGTCTATCCACACCTCACCCATAGTTGCATTTTGCTGCTGATACAGATTGAAAAATTCTGGGAATGACTGCCTCAGAGAGCTTTGTCCTATCCAATAATCTTCCCAGAAAGAGACCTTCCTATCACTCCCCACTTTGAAACTGGATTTACTTCTGATGGGTCACCACAAATCCTGATTGATCTCCACACACTGACTCCATCAGATGTATTTTGCTGACTTTGTTGTCCAGTTGTAGGACTCCACCAATCAAGCTTCCAATTCTATTTCCTCCAACTCCTACTGGACATGACATGTTCTGCTATCTTCCTTGATGGAAGTTCAAACAGAAATTGATAATCATTCATCTCGAACACATTGGCCCCACCTTCTGATTTCCATGAGTTACAGGCTCATCACCTAACATTGTCCAAAGATGGAGCTTCCTGTTTACCAACAAGGCATCTTACCTCGTAGGTCTTTGTCTGAGACTGCTGTGCCACCAGAGATGGTTCTTCTGGAGTTGCAGGTTCTGATCAGCAAAGTTTTTGCCCCTTCTGTTGCATCTTACAGCTTCTGAAAAAGAAAGCCCCACCCACCCACCCAGATGGCTACTACTTACTAATGGAAGATATCTTCTGGGCTATATGTCCCCACCCCTCCACAAATGTAGTCTTCAGTGTAAAAATGATAGATTTGTTATCTCTTTGAATAGCAAATAAAGCTAATATATCTACCATACTCATTGTATTTAAGGGTGAAGAAGAACTCTGCAAGATCCTTCTTATTCCATCTCTTTACTGTCCTCCTCTGCTCCTTGGATGCCATCATAATACATCCACTAACCATTTCATAGCATTAAAGCTCATAGAGACTTGTCTCATTAAGTTCCTGCTAGTTCAACCAAGTAGAACCAGGTCTCTGCCCTTGAACTTATCCTTATAGTGTCATGATTTAAAACCTGTCTTATCATAAATCCTATCTTCTTCCATGTTCAAGGGAACTTCCTCTCTGATAAAATTTGAAAACTGAAAATGGATTCCAGCCTACCTTATCGGAATCTCCCCCAGGAAAGTAGTTGGTGAAAGTGAGGCAAGAAAGAGTTAGCCTCGGGGAATGTGCCTGAGAGCAGCTCGTGAGATTTTACTAGATGGGAGCTTTTTACTCACACATAATACTACCTCATATGATTTTATACATGATTTGACATTTTTCTTCCTTCTTCACATCTTCAAGTTCTACCAAAATCAAATATAACAACACAACAATTTTTCTCTTAACTGAAGTGAAATCAACCAAAGTCAAAGAATTTAGGACAGAAGATAGGTCTTAAAGGAAATGAAAATGTGATCTTAGGAAAACTCAATGTCTCTTAAGAAAACAGAATTTGGAAGTGTTCACATTATATATGCAAGAGATCCCACCAATTTGCATGAATATGCAGCAAAATGACTACCCATGAAACTACGATCTATTCTACAAGCACCTAGAGAAATACTGTTAATCACTTTAGTCACACAAAAACCACTAAATGCAATATTAGAAAGGAAAAGAAAAGAAACAGAAAAGATGAGGTGAAGTACAAAGCCATATGCATAACCAATTGTTTGGCGAGAAAGATCTTTTAAAATTCAAATTAAAAATGGAGTCGTGTAGTGGCATATCTTTTGGGATTATAATCATAAGCATTGGATTTTGGTGATAAAACCAAACCAAAGTACTTTTAAGTCAAAATTCGAAGCGAAGAAAATATCAACACACTTTTTATGAGATTTCATGAAGAACTGGGGAAATGTAAAACACACCCTTTCATCCATGAAGTTCGCATTTTTACTAGGTTGTTAATCACAGGCCTTAACTAGCAAGTTACTACTAATGTACACAACATTTAGACTTGAGTCTAACTTTTCAATAACAACCTAAGAAGTTTAACCTTAAAGTCAAGCTTCATGTTTTTAGTGCTTGAAAATTGTTGTGCAAACAATCACCAAGGATTTTAATTGGGAAGTCAACCATGGATTCGCATTTGGGTGAAAGTTCACTTAGTATAAAATCCATCGATATCACAACAACTGAACAAACCTATAATGACCTTACATATGGAGAACTTATGTTCTAATAAGCAATGAGGACAATTGGAAGTTAAACCATTTTCGTCCCCTAGAAACATGAGTGAGTTTCCAGGAATATAAACCAAAACTAGTAGTAGATGTATACACTGACATCATCTACAAGGTGGATAAACTACTCCAAACATGCAGCCTTTTTGTAGTTAATTTTTTCTTTTACTTTTTGGTGAATAAGTATATATCCGTAATCATGTCTTAGCACAAGATCTTTGCAAGTTTCCACTATCACAGCAATAACAGCTTAAATTTCAAAATCTTGTCCCAGTGCCATACCATTTCTTCAGACACATCACAGAAAATTAGCATAACCATAACATGATAAAACCATATCATTGGCCAGGATTTCCTATAATGATTTGTAGTGAGGTTGATGGCAAAACGAGAAATAAACTTTAAGGAGTTAGTAAGTTGGAAGCAAACATTCCAAACTATAAGCTTTAGTGCACTTTCTGGCAAATGGAAAGCTTGCTAAACAATTTCAAGTACCCGGATCTGATGGAATCCCAGAAGCTAGCCTTCAAGTTAGAAACTTTTGGTTGCCTCTTAACTGCAAATATGATGAGAAGTAAAAATAACTTTGTATTAGGAGACAAATTATTGAAATCGAATAACAAAAATGAACAAAATGAATTTCCTGTCTGCTTGTTATTGGTGTTTCCTTCTATTCATATTTATGCAGGTCGAGCACCATGAGGTTTCCTACTATGTCAACTAGACAGAAGAATCAGAAGGGATGAATTAAGTCTTGTCTCAGACTAAGGAATCAAATTGAAGAGGCAAGACAAAGTAAGAAACCTCGAAAAAGGGGATAGGGAAGTGGAAAAGAAACAGGCTTTATCTCCAAAAGTCAGCCAAGTCTTTTTCGACAATTTACCAACTTCCAGAACAATCAAGTCTAACAACGATCATGCAGTTACAACCACAAATAAAACTCACTACACATCTCAATTTTCAAATACTGATTAAAGCTTTGCATCTAGGATTTCTACACCGAAAAGGAAAAATCTTTTACATCCAAATGTCTGCCAGGTATTTTGACTTTTGTTAGTATATATTGTCCCTTGTAATTCGTTTATCATATTATTTTGTTTTAGTTATTGCTCCTTTTTCAGTATGCCTTTGTCATGCCTTATGTAGTATTTTGTCTTAGTTTCTCCAGTCCTATTATTTTCTTGAGCGGAGGGTCTATGGGAAACAACCTCTCTATCTCCCAAGGTTAAGGTTTGCATACACACCACCCTCCCCAGACCCCACAAGTGGGATCACAATAGGTACGTTGTTGTAGAAACTTCCAGAAGAATCAGTTTTGATAATGCACTTTGTAGTTACAATGACTAGAGCTTTTCAATCAAGATTCAGACATTGAAAAAGAAACAGGTTTTTACACTAAAATGTCCAAACACTGCCTGTTCTAGTATTTAAGGCAGTGGGTACTCCTTGTGATGTGTAAATTTAGTTTAATTTTTTTTACTTAACTGATCTGGATGCTGATGAGTGCTTAGGGGCTGTTTGGTAGCTGATTAGAATTATGCAGTGCGGGTATTAGCTATTCCATCATCTACCCCGCATAAGATAATACACGAATTTCCTCGAAACTTATACATATATTGATGGTGCAGGTTTCTAAATTGCTAACCAACTAATCTGCAACCAAACATAACATTACTTATCCAGAATGTAACACCTGCATAACTCACACCTAAACTAGCTACCAAATGACATTTTTTTTACAACACAGGAAGACAGAGACCGCCCCAATAGCCATTGGGTCTTTTTCTACAATTTTTTCCCCTTTGACACCATAGTTTACATCCAAAAGTCAACCAGAGATATTTACAATTTCTCAACTTCCTAAATATAAGATTTCACAATGATCTTGCATATACAATCATTAATCACCCAATACCCATTAAATCTTTTCACACAATTAGAAAGACTTACAAAAATCAAAGTAAAAAAATTAACTAGTCACACCAAAGTTGACAGCTTTAAACTAAATGAAATTTCAAAAAAGGAGCTACCTTTCAGAAAACCCAAATTAGTATTGGGAAATGACAACTGATTTGAAGCTTGACAACGGCAGCAATTAAGAGAAACAATAGTGGGTCTGCAACACATAACACAAAAAACATAAAAGTAAAATTAAACAACAAATTCAAAAAAAAAAACAGAAAAGAGAAAAACAAAGAACTAATTTTTCGTTACTTACAGGGAAGAAGAAGAAGAAGCAACAGTAGAAGTGGATACTAAGTGGAGAGTTTGCATTTGCATATTTTTTAGTGGAATTTTGGGTAAAAGATAATTCAAGAAAATATGAACGGTTTGCGTCCTTTGAGCTTTTATGTTGCACCTCAATTTATTTGTTTTTTTTTTCTCTTCAAGGAAACTTCAAAAGAAATATTTCAGAGGGTTGAATTTTTGAGATTTTTTTCATAAGTAAATTATTTAAAGTTCAAAAAAATTGTGAATTTTTTTTAATAGATACTCTTTATTCAGTGATGTTTTTAATTATTTTATATATACTTAATAGATTAATTTGAAAATAATCAAATAGATATTGTTCTGCTCTATTTCTTTAGTTTGTTTTTACAAAAAATGTTTCATTTCTTTTTGATAATTTTACATAATTTATTTATGATTAAAATATTAAATGACGTTTTAATATATTTAATGTATTTTTTATTTAAAATCATTAAAAAAAATTAAAAAAAACTTTTTATATTTGTATCAAAATAAAATTAGACAAATAAATTAATGTGAAGAAGCGAATTATGGTATAATTCAATAAGATTCGTGCAAAACAAATGTATAGTTACTTTTACGAAAATAAAAAATTTAACAGCTCAATAAATTAAGTATTTAAACTTTCACGTTATTAGTGAGAATTCATCCATTTCTCCTTCCTCTACTCCAAGAAAAAGACAAAATAAGAGTGAGTTGTTTTTTCTATTAAAAGAAGAAGAAGAGGAGAAAAAGAATTTAAATAAGAAAAGTATAAGTATGACGGTACACTTTGTTTCTAGTACTTATATTAGAAAAAAAGAAATATAAAGAGTGAAAGTTTTTCCATTTCTTGTTATTCAATTGCTTGTTCATACTCTAAAAATATTTTGAGATTTTTACTATTTTTTTAAAAAATTATTAGAAGTATGAGTGGGGATAGGAATGGACCTTCAAAACTTGTAACAACAAATTGTTGGTGGTGTGATGGGTTTTTGCTTCTATGCAAGAAATTACTACATGTCATTTTTTGTAAAATTTTGAGGTACATATTCATTTGTTTTCTTTTTATGATTTATTAGTCATTTATACTGCCTAAATAATAAAAATTATTAGTCATTTTCATGTTACTTAATCTTACTTTTTGATGTTTACTTAGGTTGGAGTTATCCTTAACTTGTGGAGTTTACAATAGTTTTGAGCTCTTCTTTTTGTGCCAACTTTTTCTTTATGTTCTAGTAATAGCTAGATCATGTATATATATATAACTAAATTCACTAAATATATAATTTTTATTTGTTAGGGTTAGTTACAATTATCTTTTTTTGGTGAAAAAGATTTTCATAGACAAGACAATAGCATCCACAATATAATTATTAAATTAGTCTTTCTTTCTGGAGATTGTTCTCTCTATAGTTTTAATATTTGTTTTTCTATTAGTTTAATTTTTCATATGTAGGTCAATTGACCTAGTGTACTTTTCTTTGTGTCTGGTTTTCCGTTGTTCAGACTTTGCAATTGTTAGCTTCCGTATGATGTTACGTTGTTTCGATACCAACACTTTCGTTGTAGAAACTCATAAACTCCAAATTCTGAATTGTTTTCATCCTGGGAACACTTATTGGGAACAATGGGCATTCCTAAGTTTCTAGTATCATAATGAGAATACAAGTTGTTCTTTTTTTGTGTTTGATGATTTTTCAACTCCTATGACATAATGAGGGCTTTCTGTTGGAGTAGATTTCCACTTTGGTTCTTTCTTTAGTGATTGTAATTACTTTCACTTTTAACACTTCTTCCTGTAAGTAGCAAATGAAGGAGTGCAGATAAAGGAAACAAGATGCCTTAAAGTATAAGAAGTTTTCAATTTTGAATCTTGTGTTTGACGGTGATCATTCCGAACAAGTCATATACTATTCCGTTTTATTTTATGTGTCTTAGTTTGATTGTACACAGAGTTAAGAAAATAAAAGAGAGTTGTGAATACTGTGATCTTAAACTAAAGATGTTATAATATTTCCATAAATGTATGTTCAATCTTGTGGTCTTAAACGTGATGCATGGGAATTGGGATGTTGAAACTAAAGAGTTAGTACTAAATATAAAAAATGACATTCTTTTTTAAACAGATTAAAAAGAAAGTTGGGACACATAAGTTGAAAAGGAGACATGAATTGGTTTTAGTGTTGTATGCTTTAACAAGGCCTCTCTACCTCGAAGAGGCAATGGTAAGGCATGCGTACACTCTACCCTCCTCAGACCTCACGTTGTGGGATTTCATTGGGTTTATCGTTACGTTGTTGTTGTTTTAACAAGGCCTAGAGCTCTTCTTTATTTCTTATATCAGAGAATTTTTTATCCTCTTGATCCATAATTATAAAGAACTTGCAGTATTGTGAATTTCAATAAGTATGCACATTTTTCTGTTTTTTAGTTTTTTAGAGATTTATACTAATGATGCTCCATTTCTAATGCTTTGAAGCCAAGGACCACTTCTCATATGACAGTTAGGATGTTATCATTGATGATTGCTGAGGGGTTTGGTTTATAATTTTTCACAAAGTTTTCTATTGATAAAGACATTTGATCCAAATTTGAAAGCCATCCATCACAAACTTAATATTCTGGTTTTACTACTTAATGTCGTAGTTATTAATTTGATCGATATCGATAAATCATTTTAAATGTTTTGAGAAAAGAATGGAAATATGATCAATATGATGTCACTAGTTGAAGGGACAATGGATCTTTGCTTTCAAGGTAGCTCTGACCATTCCCTCAAGAACACTTCTGTCTATTATCATAAGCTTGTTGCTTATACAGAACAACCTCGGAAACATCCTGTTGTGCATCTATATATATATACTATGTTGTTCAAGATAATCTCAACTTGTCCATTTACTTGCCAACATGGTCAGCCATAAGCAGAGTTTTAGTTCTAAGTTCATTTTTCTGGCTGCTAGTTTTGTACTTGTTATGTTCATAAAGAACGCAAACTCTGCTCCGTTTGATGAAGCTGGGAATGAGTTAGCATTTCTCTTCTTTTTTTCCTTGTTATGTTGCAGAGAATTGTTTGTTTCTCTAATTTTGATTTTGCATTTTTTGATGGATTTGATGTGACAGGGGAGAGATGGAAGATGGAGCAGCGTGGACGATGGTGCAGAAGAGCGGGAACCAATTTGTGTTGAATGGCCAACCTTTCTATGTGAATGGATTCAACACTTATTGGTTGATGGTGTTTGCTGCTGATCAGTCCACAAGGGGAAAAGTTACTGAGGTGTTCCAGCAGGCATCTGCTGTCGGTCTATCAGTATGCCGAACTTGGGCTTTCAATGATGGCCAATGGCGTGCTCTTCAGAAAACTCCTGCTGTTTATGACGAAGACGTTTTCAAGGTATGCTTGCTTATCTTGTAGCCCATATTTCTCTGTATACACATATGCTAACCTTCAAATGCTTGAGGCAACATGGTCAGTAGGGATTCAAATATCCGATCCCAACTTGCTTAGATTGAGACATAGTGATCGTTGTTGTTGTATACATATGCTAACATTCAAAGGACTACCTTCATTGCTTCATCTGATCAGGCTGCAGAGACAAATTAGAACAACATTTTCTGATTAAACAGAGAAGCTAACAAGTATCGACGTTCTTTGTTATTCAGGCTCTGGATTTTGTGGTGAGTGAAGCCAAGAAATTCAAGATTAGGCTGATACTGTCACTAGTCAACAACTGGGAAGCATACGGTGGAAAATCGCAGTATGTAAAATGGGGTAAAGCTGCTGGCCTGAATTTGACTTCTGATGATGACTTCTTCTCTCATCCCACACTCAAAAGCTACTACAAGGCTCATGTGAAGGTAATCACAATTCACAGCAACACATTATAAATATTTTCTTCTGTAGTACTCCCTCCGTTTCAATGTGTTTATATGGTTTTGACTTGGCACGGAGTTTAAGAAAGTAAAAGAGACTTGTAAATTTTGTCATCTCCACAATGCAGCATTGTATTAACTGTCAAGCATGAATTTGTTTTCTGCAGGCTGTGCTCAATAGAGTTAATACCTTTACCAACATGACATACAAGGATGACCCCACTATTTTCGGTTGGGAACTGATGAATGAGCCGCGGTGTGAATCAGATCCTTCTGGGGATAAACTGCATGTTTGTCACACTTAAACTACTAGCTATAACTCATCAAACGTTTATTGTCAAAGCAAATAACTATGTTTGCACTTGCAACTTAAATATCATTCTGTTTGATATTTTTAGGCTTGGATAGAAGAAATGGCAGTTTATGTGAAGACAATAGATCCGAAGCATTTGGTGCAGATCGGACTGGAAGGTTTCTATGGTCCCTCGACTCCTAATAAAGCTCAGATCAACCCAAACTCTTATGCTCAACAAGTCGGAACTGACTTCATTAGAAACCATCAGGTTCTTGGAGTTGATTTCGCCTCAGCTCACATGTATCCCGACTCTTGGTAAGCACACTGAACTATTACAGCATCATTCATATTGCAATACCACTAACATTCTGCATATGCCTCAGGATTTCACAAGAGATTTCTGATGCTCATATTGGATTCACCAAGACATGGATGCAAGCACACATTGAAGACGCGGAGAACTATCTCAACATGCCAGTGGTATTCTCAGAGTTCGGTGTTTCTGCAAAAGACCCTGGCTACAATTCAACTTTCAGAGACTCACTAATCAGTACAGTTTACACAATACTCTTGAATTCTACTAAGAAAGGAGGGGCTGGAGGTGGAAGTCTTTTGTGGCAAGTGTTTCCAGAAGGAACAGATTACATGGATGATGGTTATGCAATAGTACTTTCAAAGGCACTTTCAACCTCGAACATCGTATCTCTTCATTCTAAGAGGCTAAATACCTACAATTCCCTCTGCTCCTGGAAATGCCACTGGGGTTGCAAGAAGAAACATGCCCTTGACAACTTCCAGTTACATGAAGAGCTTTAACATGTTGAAGGTATGTCAATGTTTGCACGACCCATAAAATACTACATATATGTATCTTCTGTGGAACGTGTATCCAGTTTGTCATGTAAGAAACAACAATAACCCAAAGTATATGCATAAGGTATGCAAAACACCAATAAAGAAAAGTTGTATCTATATGTAAAGCATGTTCATGAAGTTTACAAGCTGCCTTTTGTTGTTTATTTTCATCATTGTATAATAAAATGAGAACAAAAAAAAAATAGAGCTAGAATTTTCCTTCTTCCTTATGAAACATGTTGTTTTGTTAAATCATGATAGCCAATAAACATATACATCCTGTAAAGAAGTAATTCTTTTTTTTCTATCGCTAGTCTTTTCCTTCCCCATAACCCACGTACTACAACACCATACTAGTGTAATCTCGTCTGAAGAGGATTGTGCGTACACAACCTTACTTCTATAAGAGGTTGTTTTCGATAGACCAAATACATATTATCAAGGGAAGTGATAAACAAGATCTTTCTTCTTCTTTTTTCAAAGTGCAACACAGCCACGAATCTTATAATTTTAAAGTACAAACAACCTTACCAAACCTTAGTGTCATGCACCTGATGGAAGGTCTAAGATAAGGAGTATCTGACTCAGTAACAGAAAATGAAACAACTTAAATAATGGTACAGAAGGATAGGTTTCATTCACCCAACGAATGAACTCAGCTGGCTACTACGTCCTAGAGAAGAAAATGGAACAACATAAAGTGCTATCTCATCAAATCATCCTAGCACAAGGGACTGCTTCTCAGGAGAAAGGAAGCAGCAGGCCTCACGAAAGTATAACCCTGAAAAGGGTCCGAATTATCCTTTGGACTCGAAATTGGAGAATCAACCAATGACATATCTGTCCAGCACTTGTCAAAATTTGCAATGCAGTGTGTTCCAGCAATTTCAGGACGGAAACTTGGCCGCATCTCTCTTGCCTCCAACTTCTTCCAGTTGATTGGCTTGAACCATTTATGGTCCTTGATTTCATCACTTCCCTTCAGCCCACTGCCAAGCCTTTTAGTTGGGTCCTTTTGCAGCAGCTAGAGAAATGGTAAAGAACAAAAAAATCATCTGAGAACACATCTAACAGCATAGCTCTAACTAAGGCAGGCACGACATTACTATAGAACCGTAAACAAGTTAAGATACTCTCACTATCCTGATTTAAGTTGCGTAGTTTGACTCAAAGTGAGGTTTGAGAAAGAAATGAAGACTTCTAAACTTGTGGTTTTAAACCCCCATCATAATAACATTTGTGTGGGTTTAAGACTTGAAACTAGTGGTATTAAACATGTCATGGCATTGGTGTGGCTATAAAAACTTCTCATTTAGGGAAAAATGAGAAATTGAAAGTAAATTGTTTTCAAAAATAGAAATGTGTTTTTCTTTAATAAGAAAATTGTCATAAAACGGGATAAAGGGAGTACCATCTTTAATTAAAACAAGGGTGTGAGTGTGAGGACAAAAAGGATAATCTCATCTGGTTTTTACTGCAACTGTACAAGTGAACTACAGTTCAACGAGATTTGCAAAGAGAATAAGAGGATATAAGGAAAATTACCCCTTTAAGAAGGGAATGTGCTTCACTGGACAAAAAGGCTGGCATCTTGAATTTGTCCTTAACTATCTTCTGCTGAATCTTTTGCCTATTTCCAGTGAAAGGAGGCTGCGAATACAGAAAAACAAAGCATTAGCAAGGAATGTACAGTTGAATTTTTTGAAGGATGCGGCATTCTCTTTCCAGGAAAATATATGTACAACTGAAGAGTTTCCTGAGGTCCGAACGATCTAAATATATTTGTAGAAGAGTCCAATTGTTTCTGCTAATGATAGATTCCTTCCATGCCCCACAGTTGATAGAAGTGATATATCATAAATTATTTAGCAAATTGGCCTCCAAATTAAAGAGGTTACATGTTCAGATGAAATCACCATAGGACACCCTTTATTTCATCATATGTGAATGTAGTTTGATGAGATTGATGGAATAGGTCAAATCAGAGAAAAACCTTGTTGTAGCACGTGGCTCTTAAAGCAAGTCTGAGAAAATTATCGGTGCAGGATTTTTCTCATAAGAAAATGATTAGGTAATGGCTAGACTTGTGACAAAAGGAATTTGATCTCCAGCTATATGTGCAGATACATGAATATAGATACTGACCTTCCCCGTGAGCATCTCAAACAACAAAATTCCTACACTCCACCAATCTGCCGCCTTATCATGGCCCTTCCCAAGAACAATCTCCGGTGACATGTACTCTACTGTTCCACACATGGAGTTCGATCTTGTGTCCTCTTTGAATTCCTTGGCAAGTCCAAAATCAGTCAACATGGCCTACAACAAGTAAGGGGATTGAGGAAATTAAATTGATAACCTTTACATGCAAAGAAGAAAAAATCAGATGTGTGAAGACGCTAGTCCACCCACACACAGAAACTGAGAGAGGGGAGAGGTGAATATACATGGCCATCCACATCCACTAGAATGTTTTCCGGTTTGAGATCCCTGTGCATTATTCCATTTGCATGAAGGTGAGACACTGCTGATATAATTTCAGCTGCATAAATTCGTCCCAGGTCCTCTCTGAGAAGCAAAGCAAGAATAACTTAATTCATAGTTTCAGCTTTCACAAAGAAACAGATAGCAAGAAGGGAAAATCTACCTGAAAAGGCCTTGCTTATAGAGCTGAAAGAAGAGATGACCACCATTAATGAAGTCGAGCACAAGGTAAAGCCTATACTTGGTCTGCAAGTTAAAACCATGGAAAAAGTGTTTGATGATCAAAAAGAGCTCCAAAGTTGAAAGATTGAATTGTAATCAACAGTTGTAAAGATTGTAATACAGTACTATCCTTGTGTGGTTGGGCAATGATTAGAGACCTATTGAATGAGAGATCTAGGAAATCACCTGAAATGAGTACCTAAGCTGGACAACAAATGGGTGATCTATCTTTGTCAAGATATCTCTTTCTGCTTTCATATATTCAGCATGGTTCTTCTCCATAATCTTATCCTTCCTCATCACCTTCATTGCATAAATATCTGATGTACCCTTCTTTTTAACCTGAAATACTTTCCCAAATGCACCCTGGCCAACAACTTTCATGACTTCAAAATCTTCAAGACAGACAGTCCCACCTTTTGCTGAGTCGTTGACAGATAGCTCCTGGTCTTCCTTAATTGTCTGTTCGATAACATTCTCTATCAGTTCCAGCGAATCTTCTGCTTCATGAATGGTGAGCCTCCCAAGTTTCAGTACCTGATTTTTATATGAAGAAGGACCAACCAAAGAATGTGATCTACTGTGTACAATCTCCGGATCATCATAGACAAGCTCACTCATATCTGCTGGAAACACCACACCCTCAGAAATTCCATTACTTGTTTCATTTGAGGCCAGACACGGAGGAGGACCAAACACATCAGAGAAATCGAGTTCAACCTGCTCAGAAGGAACCAAACCGGGGGCACTCAGTGGTAAAAGCAATTGCCGGTGGAAAGATTTTTGCAAGTTTGTTTTTGTCGGAGCAAAGAGCTGAGAAGAAACCATGTTTCCAGCAGCTCTTTGACAGATGTAGATGGACAAATACTAATACTATGGTAGGCAAGCCTTTCCAAATGCTTCAAATGAGTGCACGTTCAGCGTAGCAGTCTTAAAGAACTTAGAAAGCAAGCACAACAAAATCCAGCAGAAGAAGCCGTTCTTGTTTCCCGATTTACAGGAAACTGCAGATACCACAGTAGTTCTAGTATTCATGAAGATTCTGAAGTCAAATCTGTCATACACGTCGAAACAGAGAATGAGGAGCAAGTTAGGAAGATGTAGTAAAGTTGAATGTAAGTCCTGTTAATACTTCAGAAAACAGAAATTACTGGAAGGAAACCCGCAAAGGATGCATACTAACATAGTATTCAACGCAGTGTACAGACATTCAAATTACTACCAAGTACTTCGCACAAATAAGACTAGCACTCTAGAAGAACTTATCAGTTCAAAACAAATTAATGGTCAAATACCAGTATTCCAAATTGTTGGTCCATGAGTTAGGAAGAGTGGTAATATCAGCCATTAAGTTCAAAATTGTTCAATTATAAAGAAGAAAGTACTTTGAATGAATTCATCCCATCATTCAAGAGAACAAAGAAAAGTAACTTGGTAGATTTATCCATACACATACACAGAGTAATATAATTGGGATCCTTATTAGAAAATGCACTGTGCAGTCTACTTCTATAGAATTACCACACAAAAACATAATCAACAGATGAAATATGCTTCATTACCCCGTGCAATTCCCTGACATTCTCACGCAAAAACAAAATCAGCAGACAAAATATGCTGCACTATCCAGTGTACGTTATAATCGCCAGCATCATTGTACAAAATTTCTCTCAAGTCTTCTGCGTGATTATACAACATCTAGCTTATATATACACCCAAAATCAGGATTTAACATAAGAATTCACCTACTACTAAACATTAATAGTTTCTCTACTCCTAAAAGGCAAGTTACAATTGACAATAAAGAAACTCAACAGCACTGTTTCCACATATTAGGAAAATCCACTCAATAGCACATCGAGTCAACACCACCAATCATTATTAAATTATTTTCCTTTCATTTAACAACCTATCTAGTCCTATTCAAAATTTAGGCTGATCTTCCTTCAGCGTTTCCATTTTCAATCCACGAGACGAACAAACAAAATTAGGACATTGTTTAGAATGTACCACACTGGTTGGTTATCTCCTTATTCAGATCCAATAAATTCACTTAATTCAACACCCGTTCCAACTATTCAAAAACTACATTGTACCAAAACTATCAAATTTCAACCTTATGCATATAAAATCAACGGAATTATCTCTTTCACTGATCTAAACAACATCAAAAACAAAACAACGAGAACTTGATGAGAAGTTCGAGATCTGAACCAAACACATAAAAATAAGAAGAATTTTGACGGAAAATGTATGTA